TTATAGATGCATCAAAATAGTAATTTCGGTCATCAAAGCACATAGAAGTATAGGTCCGTCGCTTCGCTTCGGCCAATAAATATCCAAATTTAAAACCTGTTTAGATTCTTAAATACCCGAGTTTAAAACCTGTTTATATTTTAAATATGTAAGTTTAGAACCCAATTATATTATTAAATACCCGAGTTTAGAATATATTTATATTTTTAAATATCCGTATTTAGAACCCATTTGCATTTTTAATACCCGAGTTAAAACCCGTTTCAATCTTATATACCCGATTTAAAACCCATTTTAATCTTATATACCCAATTAGATTTTTTATATATTTTAATATTATATACCCGAGTTAGTTCTGTATCTATTAAAATTAAAATAAATGATAAGAAACTAAGTTTGAATAGCTTGTATAACGTTATACAAAATAAGTTTTGTGTAACAATTTTTATTTTTATATAAACTACTTGTGTATATTTTGTGTAACCTACTTGCAGATTTAAGTTACACAAATTATGTAACTCTGCATTGCGTAACTTAAATTTTTGTGAAAGTAATATGTAAATACAATATACAAAAGTCATATGACCTTGTTTCATATCACATAGTCACATGACCTCACATGACATATAGGAACATATGGATATGCATAATTGTTATACTTGTGCATCCAGAATGCATAAATTAAGTTGCACAAACTTCATTCTCTGTATAAATAGTATTTTAAGCTATTCATGCACCTTGATTACACTTGTGTATACGGAATGCATACTAAGTTACGGACAACTCTGCTTTATATATATATAGACTATAAGTTTATTGCATTATATTTTCGTATAACATTGCGAGATTGTATTGTATTATGGGTTCGTGTAGTACCAAGCATTGAACTCGTGTTAATTTATAGTAGTTCCTGTGTCAATTTATATAAGACTTGCGATCTTTTATTTACCAAGATTCTAAATATATTATTTGGTGTTTTTTTTATTAGGATGTTTTGCGTAACAATTGTATATAAAAGCAGTTAAAATAAATAAAAAATGAATGTACATAAAAGTGTTCATTGAATAAAACGAAATAAACAAAAAAAAAAAAAAATTTCATTAAAACTTTAACTTGCCAAGACATTATTAAAAAATATTAGTTAAAGCCAAAAATAATACGAAAACAAAAGTATCAAAAAGAAAGATCGTCATAAAGCAATCGAAGCTGTTCTCAAAGAACTCACTAACTTTGATAATCTTAGTGTAAATGCTGCTGCTACAAGGTTTGAAATTCTAGAGACAACATTTAGACGTGCAGTAAAAAATAGCTATCACAATCGTCGTGGCCCTGCTACAATTCTGAGTAGCTATGAAGAGGAGCAACTTGTAGGCTACTATAAGAACATGTAGAGATTAGATTTTGGCTTGACGAAATTGAATGTGAATTATTGTGTGATGGAGATTGTAAAAAATCGTGATCATCCACAACAAAGGACCTGGTAGAGCTTGGTGGGATTGATTTATGAAGGACCATCCTAATTTATCTTTTAGAATGCCTCAAGCTTTATCAGAGGCTCGTGTTCAAAGAGCCAATCCAGTAATAATTAATGATCATTTTAAAAAATTAAAAAAGATAATCAGAAGCATTCACTTACTCCAGACCATATTTAGAACATTGACGAGACTGGTTTTGTTATTGCTTTCAAAATTCAAAAGGTAAGAGTTAGTAAAATAATAATTCTATAAACTATCACTAGTAAAAATTAAAAATTCGTCATGTTGAATAGCACGATTCGAATGCATGTCTGTAAGACTATAAGATAATGTTAAATAGCAGTTTGAGTGACGTTCGAATCATGCCATTTAACATGGTAAATTTTTTAAATTTTTATCAGTATAAAAATTAATTTAATAGTTATTATTATATTAAAAAAAATATATCATAATAATACAAAATGGTGTATTAACTCATCTTCAGGTTCTCGTCATAAAAGGTGCTCGCCAAGTCTATAAGGTTTTATATGGAAATATGCATGACTATATATCTGTTGCTCCAACAATTTTCGCTACAGATAATTATGTGCCTCCTTTAATCATCTATAAAGATATCTGCGCAATTACAGGTTTATTAGCCGAAGCCCCTCCTGGCAGTGTAATAGGCTTCACTGATTCTGGGTATATGCGAGAAGACCTTTTTCAGATGTATATTGAGCACTTCATCAGTTCGATTTCACCTGTTTGTCCAGTCCTATTAATGCTTGATGGTCATAAAAGCCATGTAAATTACACAAGTGTTAAATTTTGTTATGATAATGGGGTTTTACTCTATGTACTTCTTCTCCATACCACACATGTGCTTTAACTATCTAAAATTCCCTTCGCCAAGCTCAAAAAAAAATATAGCAATAGTTGTGACAGGCTTCATAATAATAAAGGCGAAGTGGTTACTAAGCATACATTTGCTAGTATTCTCAGACCAGCATTTGCCACAACCTACACCTCTGAAGCAATTACTAATGCTTTTAGAGTTATAGGCATTTGGCCTTTTAACCCTAATATGATTAGTCTAGACTGTCTTGATTCTTTATTAACAACCGAGCAACCCAACTTATTACCTTCATCTCAGCCTATTCAACCAACAGAGGAAGAAATGTTAATACCAACAGTTGTATCCTCCCTTCAACCAACCCGTAAATACCCTACTCGAGCTGACACTGTTCAGGAATTAGAATTATTAAAAGAAGGAATTAAGTCTCTTGAGAATGAGATAGAATTCTTGAAAAAAGAAAATAAATCAGTAAAAAAAGATCTTACCTCAGCAAAAGAAGAACTAGAAATGTACAAAAGGCCTAGTACCTGTTCATTAAAAATGGCTCTTAAATACCCTGTCTCCTGGCAATTACAAACTATGGAATCAAACTCTAATAGCAATACTAAATCTTAGTCCCAACTCACAAAAAGAAGAAAGACACTACCCTTTTTCTGTCTTCTTACCAATGAAAACTCTTTACTAGAATTAAAAAAAGTAGAAGAATTAGCTAAAAGTAAAGCTGAAATCGCAAAGAAAAAAAAGGAAGCTGCTGCAGAAAAGCAGGCAAAACGTGAGTTAGAAAAGGCACAAAAAAAAGCTGCACTCGCACATAAAAAAAAAACTATAAATGATAAAGAAAATTAAGCCTTTATCATTATTACTACTATACAGCGTGGTCTAAAATACTTAGGGTACTTTATACAATTTAAGCTGTAGATATGGGCATTATAGTCACAGGGTATATGTTGCACTAAATGTATACATTTCTAAGTGTCTTTAGTACCTGAGATACTTTATTCCAAAAATTGTGAGGGTATTGTAAAAGGGTCTTCTAGACCACGCTGTATGGTACGTATCGTATAACAGTATATATAATAAAAAAAGATTATCGATCATTATTTTTATCACTGATTTTTAGTTCGCCACAATACCCTCACTTTAATCGAGAATTAAAGCCGTCTTAGAACCCTTGTTATAAAATTATAAAACTGAGCCTTTTTTTTTTAATTGTATAAAGTGATTTGAAACCTATATATAAATTAAAAATTTTATTATCACATTTGCTTTTTTTATAAACTTTTATTAATCAAAACTGTTAACTTCGCCACAATACCAAAACCAAGCCTTTTTTTTTAATTGTATAAAGTGATTTGAAACCTATATATAAATTAAAAATTTTATTATCACATTTGCTTTTTTTAT